CACTGTAATTCAGAAACAAAGTCTACATATTGTCCTGTGAGTCTAATGCTATAGTGCAAGGTTCTACCTAGACGTGGTCCCCACTATGGCAGACCTGACAGTGTGTGTAACCAATATCAACCTTACAGACTCGTGTACAAAGAGGAAACTATTACAAATTCATTTCAGACGTTGAATGACATTGCTCAGGAGGGCATTTAAAACTGTAATTCAGAAACAAAGTATACATATTGTCCTGTGAGTCTAATGCTATAGTGCAAGGTTCTACCCCACTATGGCAGACCTGACAGTGTGTGTGACCAATATCAACCTTAAACACTTTTCAGTTCATATGAGACCCTGAATGACAGTCATAAGGTAACCTACACTGTAGTTCAAAAATGTTGTCTATATGTTGTCCTGTATGTCTACTCCTTTAGTGGAAGTCTTGACCTAGATGTGGTCCCCACTATGCTAAATCTGACAGTGAATGTAACTAAAAACCATTCAAACATTTCTATCCTGAGAGGGTCCCCACAATGCGAGACCTGAGAGCATGTGTAACTAATACTATCCCTAAGGCTTCACTTAAAAACAATTAACCCTCACAAATGTATACCAGACAACAAATGAAATCAGTCCTGAAGTAACTTTAATTGACCATAAATAGCTGCAGAACTACCAAGTAGTTCAATCACTACGTGCATACAAAACATTTTTTTAATACCTTTAAGCCAGAAGAAGTTCCAGTGTTGGTCACAGGACTTGAAGCTGAGCGGCTTGGTTCAACCACGTCCATCATGTTAGCAGAGTCCTTACATGCAGGCTACAGGATTTCAAATAATACAGTTAAATATTTAGAATTGAACAGCATTTCATACAAAAGAAATGAGGCTGTCCCAGGCTACACCAAATAGTGTACATGTAATGCAAACTACACAGTCTACACATCATAACTACCTAATAAGACAATAACTTGCACCAAAAAATGCAGTATTACTAGGCCAGTAAAGTCATTCACTTGTCTAATAGTTCTAAAGAAACAATCTTCCGAACAACTGATACATGTGTAAACCAATGCAGTAATTACATGCTGTAACGCAAGTATGTCTACACTTTTTTAAATACCTTTAAGTCAGAAGAGGAAGCTCCAGCGTTGGTCAGAGGACTTGAAGCTGAGTGGCATGGTTCAACCTCGTCCATCATGTTAGTAGTGTCCTCACATGCAGGCTAAAGGGATTTCAAATATCACAGTTAAACATTCAATAAACCTCACATACATGTACATCAGTATTTAAAATGCAATACAGAATTTCACACCATGTTTTATCAGTGCCTGCTGCTTTAGTGGGTCAAGTTAATCAGACATGGAGCCACCATGTCACAGAAGACAGAGTGTAAATGACATCAATCTTAATATGAATCAAAAATTCATATGACACCCTTAAAGAAATTAATTATAAAGAGGACAAACTGCTGTTGGAGAACAAAAGACCATATATTCTTCTGTGTGTTCATTGCTCTGCTGGTTCACATTACTAGACGTGGTCCCCACTATGGCAGACCTGACAGTGTGTGTAACCAATATCAACCTTACAGACTCGTGTACAAAGAGGAAACTATAACAACTTCATTCAGACATTGAATGACATTGCTCATGAGGGCATTTAAACTGTAATTCAGAAACAAAGTCTACATATTGTCCTGTGAGTCTACTGCTATAGTGGAAGGTTCTACCTAGATGTGGTCCCCACTATGGAAGACCTGACAATGTGTGTAACCGATATCAACTTTACAGACTCGTGTACAAAGAGGAAACTACTACCAATTCATTTCAGACGTTGAATGACATTGCTCAGGAGGGCATTTAAACTGTAATTCAGAAACAAAGTCTACATATTGTCCTGTGAGTCTACTGCTATAGTGGAAGGTTCTACCTAGACGTGGTCCCCACTATGGAAGACCTGACAGTGTGTGTAACCAATATCAACTTCACAGACTCGTGTACAAAGAGGAAACTACTACCAATTCATTTTCAGACGTTGAATGACATTGCTCAGGAGGGCAATTAAACTGTAATTCAGAAACAAAGTCTACATACTGTCCTGTGAGTCTACTGCTATAGTGCAAGGTTCTACCTAGACGTGGTCCCCACTATGGAAGACCTGACAGTGTGTGTGACTTATATCAACCTTAAACACTTGTTTAAAAACAGGAAACTATTACTAGTTCATATGAGACCCTGAATGACACTAGTCATAAGTAACCTACACTGTAATTCAGAAACAAAGTCTACATATTGTCCTGTGAGTCTACTGCTATAGTGCAAGGTTCTACCTAGACGTGGTCCCCACTATGGCAGACCTGACAGTGTGTGTGACTTATATCAACCTTAAACACTTGTTTAAAAACATGAACTGGGTAATAGTTCCTATGAGACCCTGAATGACACTAGTCATAAGGTAACCTACACTGTAATTCAGAAACAAAGTCTACATATTGTCCTGTGAGTCTAATGCTATAGTGCAAGGTTCTACCTAGATGTGGTCCCCACTATGGCAGACCTGACAGTGTGTGTAACCAATATCAACCTTACAGACTCGTGTACAAAGAGGAAACTATTACAAATTCATTTCAGACGTTGAATGACATTGCTCAGGAGGGCATTTAAACTGTAATTCAGAAACAAAGTATACATATTGTCCTGTGAGTCTAATGCTATAGTGCAAGGTTCTACCCCACTATGGCAGACCTGACAGTGTGTGTGACCATATCACCTTAACACACTTTTCAGTTCGTATGAGACCCTGAATGACAGTCATAAGGTAACCTACACTGTAAGTTCAAAAATGTTGTCTATATGTTGTCCTGTATGTCTACTCCTTTAGTGGAAGTCTTGACCTAGATGTGGTCCCCACTATGCTAAATCTGACAGTGAATGTAACTAAAACCATTCAAACATTTCTATCCTGAGAGGGTCCCCACAATGCGAGACCTGAGAGCATGTGTAACTAATACTATCCCTAAGGCTTCACTTAAAAACAATTAACCCTCACAAATGTATACCAGACAACAAATGAAATCAGTCCTGAAGTAACTTTATTGACCATAAATAGCTGCAGAACTACCAAGTAGTTCAATCACTACGTGCATACAAAAACATTTTTTAAATACCTTTAAGCCAGAAGAAGTTCCAGTGTTGGTCACAGGACTTGAAGCTGAGCGGCTTGGTTCAACCACGTCCATCATGTTAGCAGAGTCCTTACATGCAGGCTACAGGGATTTCAAATAATACAGTTAAATATTTAGAATTGAACAGCATTTCATACAAAAGAAATGAGGCTGTCCCAGGCTACACCAAATAGTGTACATGTAATGCAAACTACACAGTCTACACATCATAACTACCTATAAGACAATACTTGCACCAAAAATGCAGTATTACTAGGCCAGTACAGTCATTCCTTGTCTAATAGTTCTAAAGAAACAATCTTCCGAACAACTGATACATGTGTAAACCAATGCAGTAATTACATGCTGTAACGCAAGTATGTCTACACTTTTTTAAATACTTTAAGTCAGAAGAGGAAGCTCCAGCGTTGGTCAGAGGACTTGAAGCTGAGTGGCATGGTTCAACCTCGTCCATCATGTTAGTAGTGTCCTCACATGCAGGCTAAAGGGATTTCAAATATCACAGTTAAACATTTCAATAAACCTCACATACATGTACATCAGTATTTAAAATGCAATACAGAATTTCACACCATGTTTTATCAGTGCCTGCTGCTTTAGTGGGTCAAGTTAATCAGACATGGAGCCACCATGTCACAGAAGACAGAGTGTAAATGACATCAATCTTAATATGAATCAAAAATTCATATGACACCCTTAAAGAAATTAATTATAAAGAGGACAAACTGCTGTTGAGAACAAAAGACCATATATTCTTCTGTGTGTTCATTGCTCTGCTGGTTCACATTGACTAGACGTGGTCCCCACTATGGCAGACCTGACAGTGTGTGTAACCAATATCAACCTTACAGACTCGTGTACAAAGAGGAAACTATAACAACTTCATTTCAGACATTGAATGACATTGCTCATGAGGGCATTTAAACTGTAATTCAGAAACAAAGTCTACATATTGTCCTGTGAGTCTACTGCTATAGTGGAAGGTTCTACCTAGACGTGGTCCCCACTATGGAAGACCTGACAGTGTGTGTAACCAATATCAACTTCACAGACTCGTGTACAAAGAGGAAACTACTACCAATTCATTTCAGACGTTGAATGACATTGCTCAGGAGGGCAATTAAACTGTAATTCAGAAACAAAGTCTACATACTGTCCTGTGAGTCTACTGCTATAGTGCAAGGTTCTACCTAGACGTGGTCCCCACTATGGAAGACCTGACAGTGTGTGTGACTTATATCAACCTTAAACACTTGTTTAAAAACAGGAAACTATTACTAGTTCATATGAGACCCTGAATGACACTAGTCATAAGGTAACCTACACTGTAATTCAGAAACAAAGTCTACATATTGTCCTGTGAGTCTACTGCTATAGTGCAAGGTTCTACCTAGACGTGGTCCCCACTATGGCAGACCTGACAGTGTGTGTGACCAATATCAACCTTAAACACTTGTATAAAAACAGAAAACTATTACCAGTTCATATGAGACCCTGAATGACATTAATCATAGGGTAACCTACACTGTAGTTCAGAAATGTTGTCTATATGTTGTCCTGAGAGTCCACTGCTATAGTGGAAGGTTCTCCTTAGATGTGGTCCCCACTATGCTAAACATGACAGTGGGTGTAACCAAAACCATTCAAACATTTCTATCCTGAGATGGTCCCCACAATGCGAAACCCGAGAGCATGTGTAACTAATACCATCCCTAAGGCCTCACTTAAAAACAATTAACTCTCACAAATTTATACCAGACAACAAATGAAATCAGTCCTGAAGTAAATTTAATTGACCATAATTAGCTACAGAACTACCAAGTTGTTCACTATATGGACATAACACTTTTTTAAATACCTTTAAGTCAGAAGAAGAAGCTCCAGTGTTGGTCACAGGACTTGAAGCTGAGCGGCTTGGTTCAACCACATCCATCATGTTAGCAGAGTCCTCACATGCAGGCTACAGGGATTTCAAATATCACAGTTAAACATTTAGAATTGAACAGCATTTCATACAAAAGAAATGAGGCTGTCCCAGGCTACACCAAATAGTGTACATGTAATGCAAACTACACAGCCTACACATCACAACTCACAACTACCTAATAGGACAATAACCTACACCAAAAATGCCATATTACTAGGCCAGTAATGTCATTCACTTGTCTAATAGTTTTAAAGAAACAATCTTCTACACACTGTAATGCAAACATGTCAATCACTTTATGGATATAAAAACACTTTTTTTTAAATACCTTTAGGTCAGAAGTGGAAGCTCCAGCATTGGTCACAGGACCTGAAGCTGAGCGGCTTGGTTCAACATTGTCCTTCATGTTAGCAGTATCCTTACATGCAGACTACAGAGATTTCAAAATATCACAGTTAAACATTTAGAACTGAAGAGCATTTGTTAACAACAAATACCCACACCAAAAAATGCCACACTATTAAGCTAATAATGTCATTCACCTGTCTTATAGTTGTAAACAGCATTTTTTGTTGTCCTGAGAGTCTGTGCTGTGTCGGTGCTACACTGTCCAGTCTGTTTACTGTGTCTGTCTGTTTAATTTATTGTATTCATTGTATTGTTTCTAGCTTAATTTTTGTTTGCACACTATGCACATTCACACTTTGTAATTTTGTACTTTTTGTTCCTTGTTGCACCGTGTTGTTCCTGGAGGAACGTAATTGTGCTCCACTGTGTACTTGTACATAGATGGAATGACAATAAAAGCCTCTTGACTTGACTTTATAAAAAAAAAAAACAAAAAACAAAAAAACCACAATCTTTAGAACAACTGATATTATCATACTAAAGACTCATACTAAACAGCTAATAATTTTTAATAGCATTAATAGTGTGGATGATTAATGTTTATGACCTCAACTGAATGTTTCCACTAAGATTCCATCAAAATCCTTATAAAATATGTAATTCAGGCTAAGCCATCATCTAAATGATTATCTAATCTATTTAATCTCTAGAAAATGTAACTTCCACTCCATTTCAAGGCAGCAATACACATTGCAAGGGCTTTCAAAGTGTTACCTTTTGTTCAAATGCTGATAAGCACCCTGAAACCTCTTTCATTTCCAAAAGGCATGGTTTTAAAAGGACAATCATACTGCTAAGCTAGTAAAATCTATTTCAAATATTTTCCAAACACATCTTACAAACCTTTCTCCTCCAAGGCCAGTCACTTCCTCCATAGTCGTAGGTTATTTCCTCTCCAGGCATTATATCTCTAATTGCAAAAAGGCAGAGATGTGGTTTTCCCTGGACAATGATCTTTTTCATTTTACAGTTGGGGTCCTTGTGCTCATCGTTCACTAGTCGGCCAAGGGTGTCATCCTCTCTTGTTGCATCAACGCTTTAAAAATGAAAAAAACAAAAAATATATATATATATACATTTATTGTATTCTATGTATGAATTAGATTACTGCATATAGTTAGTAGTGCCACAACAATCAATAAGCATTAACAACACTACTGTTGAAATATAGGGGTGGGCAACATAATACTAACACCGGTATATTTTTAAATGCGATAGGATTTTGCCATATCCCGCTATTGTGATGTAACCACACGTGACTTGTGCTCATGGTGCCTAAACAGGGCCAGTGATACAGAGAATAGTATCACTAGCACTGAGGACAACTTAGTTTTTAAAAGGGGAGATGTGTCAGTAGTGTGGAAGTTTTTTGGCTACATATGGTTAGACGCCAAACAAACAACAGTAATTTGCAAAACGTGCAAAAATACTGTGACCACAAAAGCTGGCAATTTATTCCATCACCTAAAGCAAAGACACTCACTTGAGTGTGAGGAGTGTCAGAAACTGCGTGAGTCTGAGAGCACATGAGCAAAGGTTTCTCAAACCAACAAACTAAAGGTAGCCTCTCAGGCAACAATCGCTGGAGCATATGCAAATGCTGTGCTCTCAGAGTCACGCTCTGCCAAGCTAACTGCTATGTTAAAGTATGTTAACATTATAATAGTAAAAAGGTTTTACATGCACCTCGTCCATTCATTTTTATGGAGTGTTTTTTCTGCACTGAATTCAAATTTGCTGAACTTTGACCCATGCTGTGCTGACCTTGAAACACACAGCCAATGACACTAGACTATTTTTTGGCATAATGTCGCTGTAGAATAAAATAATCTGTTAAACATTTGAGATGTTTGTTTGAACTCCTCTGACAGGTGGTTTGCTATCTTTATTTACCAAGAAAACAAGCATGTTCCCTGACGCTGGCTTCAAAAGCTACGATATTGCAAACAGTGCTAAATACTCTCTCAGCAGATGCATGGTGGCAGAGATATGCACAGATATTTACTGGCTAACTTGTTGACAATAAGAAGTTATGCAGCCTCCACCATGTAAGGGCATCACTCTCACTGTCAGTTTTTTGAAGGTTAATTTAGTGCACATTTATTGGAATTTGTATTTAAGAGTTCACTATCTGCAGCAGAATATAATAAAGTATTTCAAATGAACAGAAATAATTTCAGAGCTTTCTTTAGTTAATATTGTTACTGCAAAAATATCCCAAAATATTGACATTATTTCAAGGCCTTATCGCCCACCCCTACTGAAATCCAAACTATAATCTAGTATAGTTAATACTAATACTACAAAATTTTCATTTCATATAGTTAATAATAGTTTAAAACCACAAGCTAAATTTTTGACAAAAAAATATTCTACAAAATACCTTCTATGATAATCACTAACATGTAATCTCTGAAACTTACCACCACTGTTTATTCTGCCAAAAGAAGTCAAACATAAATACAGTAATTCGGGAGACCTTCCTCCTTCTCTCTGATTCAAGGAAGTCTATCAGTTCCCCTCTGTATTCGACCACAAAATCTCCTTTATTCAAAGAAGCCAGGGCAAATACACCACGACCTGTCAAAGAAGTAAAATAAAGATAAACAAATCATATGCATGTTGTAGCAGCTGTGATACAGAAAAACATCCTGCACTGTAAGACAGTGGATTAACTGTTTTAAAATGTATCGTATCAGTATGGCAATTCATCTTTCTAATTGAATTTCTAATTTAATTAATACACCACCATTAAATTTAGTGTACATAATATTACATAAACCAGCTTCAGCACAGAGGACTGTGGAAGTGGCAATCAAGCAAAATAGATGAAAAGAATTTTTTAACCTCACGCAAATGAAAAGTGAACTGTACCAGGCAGTGGCCAATTCAAATGTGGATAATATAATAAAACAAAAATATTCAAATGAATGTATCAAAAACATAACTAACATTTAGCAGCAGATAACCACATTTTATAAACACTATTAAGCTGAGTTTCACCTGCATTTCATTGGTACAAACAACTAGTCTACTACTATATACACTTGTGTTCTGGACAGCTGAACGGTTCGTATTTTAGTTGCATGCCCCCAAAACGACTAACATTTGGCAAGAGGAATTTTTTTCTTTATTTTAATGTAAATATGCAGGCAAAACCACAACAATAGAGAACTGATGCTTCTTACTGCTGCTTGAAGGCTTCACCACAAGAAAGGCTGCACCAGACCCACCTTTATAAGGGTTTACTAATTTACTCTCCAATACATCAGTCTTGTCAGTTGCACTGGTGACATGCTGAACTGCTTCATCAAGTGGTTTCACCCTCCTCCGTCTCATTTTATCTTCTCCTCCTGCAACTGAGAGTATCTGAAGCAGAAGGTTGACAAATCATACTCAAAGCAAGGCCACATGGAACAGCAAAAACATTTGTATGGCCAAGAATTTGCATTTTTCATACGAAATTTTAAAAAATGATTTTGAAAAGAAGCTAAATGGAATGACTCTTAAGACAAGATTAAACCAGTAAGAGGTCTTGATAATAGGCCAGTGCAAAGAAAAGAGTTCTAACCATAAAAAAACAATGCTTGTAATATATTATTTTATTAAAACTTAATTCATTCATTTACTGTAAGTGTAGACCTAAATGCAACTGTGTGAATTAGCTCTTCTTATATTTAGAGCTCAAATGTAGATCAGTGCCTCACTCTCCCTCTTTCTTTCCACACGTCTTACTGTCTCCCTCTCCAAAACTGTCTGTCTCTCTCTACAACTAAACATATAGCGAGGCAGTGAGCCTTATAGTACACCTGAAAGATTAAATGATTTTCAAATCACAAAGAGTTACAATAATAATCATAGCCTACATGATGAACAACACTGTCTTAAGAATTTATAAGTGCAGAAATTGAACCGAACACAGAGCTTTTGAACCACCTCTACAGGACAACACAATCACCATTAACTGGCAGGTTGGCACACTACTTTCAGAGTTCAAGCCTCGGCCAAAAAAAATGGATGTGCTGGTCTTTTGGCCACAACACATGCCTTCCATTTACTGAAATCAGTAACAGATCAAATAGCAGATACAATCTTTTTCAGAACAACCTGCAATCAGATATTTTACCAAATATTTCAGCCCCACCTTGCAGTCAATTGTCATCCAGTTAAGCTCCACAGCTGTTTTCTCTCTCTCTCTGTGCACACACACGCACAAAACCCACAGCCCTTTTAATACTCCGATTATTTGAATTAATAAAATACCTGGTAAGAACAGTGAGTCTTACCCTGCTATATTTTTCAACTAAGTTAGATTAATAAGATAATCTCCACACAGCTTTCTCTCTCTAAAATGTACATACAGCTTTTTAAAAACTTTGATCACATGAAACCAATAAAATATCCAACACACTTTTCTCCCTAAACTACAAACATACAAACTAAGCTTGAGGTTACCAAAGTGGACCTTATAGCTCATTACCATCCAGCTAACCAGCCATCCTTCTCTCCCTCTTCTCTCTCTCTCTCTCTCTCCACTACGCACGGAACACACAGCCCTTTAAACCTCTGACTACACAAAACCAACCAAATCTCTCTCTCTCTCTCTCTCTCTCTCTCTCTCTCTAAAGCTAAATATCACTGAAAAAGCCTCACGTTACCAAACAGTGGGCCTTACAGCGCGTTAGCGTCAAGCTAACTAGCTAACGAGTTATGAGCTCCTGAAATGTTGTGGTCGCTCGAGATAACACTAAGTCGAGAGCAAACATAAAACCTTCTCTTAGCGAGCAAAGGCAAATATTTAAGCTATGAAGAGTTTTAAAATCCGGCTTAATTTACCTTACTCATTAACATCCAGCTAACCAGCCCCCCCCCCTTCTCTCTCCCTTCTCCCTCCCTTCTCCAGCCCCCCCTTCTCTCTCTCCACTACGCACGCACGGAACTCTCAGCCTTTTAAAACACTAATTACTCAAACCCAGCCTAATGTCCTCCACTTTCTCACCCTGTACAGCTAAACATCACTGAAAACGCCTCACGGTACCGAACAGCGGGTCTTACAGCACGTTAGCATCGAGCTAACTAACGCTAGCTAGCTAACGAGTTATGAGCTCCTGAAATGTTGTAGTTGCTCGAGATAACACAAACTGAGTCGAGAGCAAACATAAAACCGTATCTTTGCGAGCAAAGGCATATATTTAAGCTATGAAGAGTTTTAAAATCCAGTTTAACTTACCTTACATCGGTGCTTCTTGAGTGCAGCTATCCTTCAGCTCTTTCGTGGCGTGACAGGGGGAATTATGGGAAGTGTAGTTTTTGTTCTTCCAAGTCCCATTCGTTCCATTCAATATAGAACGGAAAAAACTACAGGCGCCATTTTAGCTTCACCTCGGTATGCACACAAACAAAGCTATTAGGTTATAACATTAGCTTAGACCAGAAGTTCGACCGGAGTACTTTAAACCATTAAAAATTGACTATATATACACTTATATATGTATTATACTGAACGTATCGATGTTGAAGACCTTATAACGCTGATGCTTATATATTTTATATTTTCTTTGGAACTTTTGGTAGTTTATCTTTTAACTGACTCACTGTTATAATGCAGTGCATATTACAATACAATATAATAGGAGACAATAATTTTTTATCTGACTGTAAACTGTTCACGTTTTGGTTTCTTGATTGTAATATTTATATGTTTAACAAAACTAACTATTTATTTCATTAATATGTCTTATTTGTGTTTACCTTGTAGTAGCAGTGATTAATTCAGCGTTCACAGCACTCAGTGACGTGTATCAGGGTTGCGCAGGCGCAGTAGTGAAAGTGTGCTTACGGTCCGCATCCTAAGCACACTTTTAGGCTGGGGTGCAGTACCACCAAGATACCGCCGGGGGCATCGGTGAGCATGTGTGTAAGCACGCTTTTACACACTTCTCATGTTTTTGCGTATGGTGGGGTCCAAAAAAAAAACTGCACCACCTATATCAGCATGGTCTCCTGAGTCAACTGGCGCATTTTGGCTGAAAACATTGTGGGGACCGGCAAAATGGTCCCCACAATGTTTTCGGTCCCCACACTGTGAGTGTGCTAACGTGTTGCGGCCCCCACCATGTAATAAAAACAAACACATACACATACACACACATACACACACACACACATACACACAAACACACATACGCACACACACAAACACACACACATACCCACGCACACACACACACATACACACACATGCACATCCCGCTGTGCCAGACGGGTCGACTGAACAGCGCCGCCGGCACATTTCTGAGACCCTGTCAGGCGAGCCTGTTCTGCTCAGCCAATGACAGCATGCGTCATTTTAATATTACGCACAGCCCATGGCAAATGGCAAAGCTGCAGCAACACTTCCGAATATTTTCCTGGAATGAAAATGCAACTTATTGCATACATTTACAGAATACCAGATGTGTTCACTTAATCTTATTTGTACTTCTACTAAAGCTGTCCAGGAACACGGAACATCTCCTCAGGCCTCTCCCGCCCTAGTTGATAATGTGGCATTTATTAATTATGAAGTAAACAAATCATTTAGTTGCATAATCCTTTTGTGATGATTTCATTCACTTACTACAGTTTTTAGATGCACTGTTCCAGCATGATGTGTGTCTTCCTTTGCTCTTAGTTGCTGTAGTAGAGACCACAGTTTTATTTCACTCAGAATGTTATGTATGCAAGAATTTCTGTTTCTTTTTTCTTGGTGAGTACACACGTTTGACATAACCAACACAACCACATAACCAAGCATGATAGACTACTAAAAAGGTCAGAAAAACTAAATATACTAAATAAGGCTTTAGTTACAGTAAATGCATGTGTAATAGAAGTGTAAAAAGAGATTGTGACTTACACAGTACTGTGAAAAAATTGAGACGACAATTATTTAATTTCATTTCAAGTCATTTTTCCCCCACGGTAGGGGATTTGGGGGGGTGGAGCATTTATTTAACAGAAAATCAAACAGAAATCTCAACAAATAAATATCATTGTTTATAGAACTTAATGTTTCCACTCTTTGCCTTTATTACAGCTTCTGTTCTTTTTCAGGAGATTTACTTTTAAGAAATCTGCAGGGGTATTTTTCCACACCTCCAAAGTTCAGTCTTAGAAATCTGCTTCTTATGATCCAAGTAACCCCAAACACATTCACACCTCAACATCAGTCCATTGTTCTGAGAACAACAGCTGTTCTTTTTGATTTGCAAATTTTCTTCTGTACTGTCTGTTTCCTTTTCTCAGTAACAGCTTCTCGACAGCTACACATCCTTTCAGACTTGTAGGCAAGGCAAGTCAAGTTTATTTATATAGCCCCTTTTAAACACTGCTGTCATTCAAAGTGCTTAATTAATTTAAAACATGATTAAAACAATACTTTTAAAAAAGAAAGTCATTAAATTAAAAATTAAATAAAAACTAAAAGTTAGATTATAGTGTTGAGTTCTCTTTTCATGGTGGAAGGATAGACAGAAACACCTGATCTGAAGTAAGAGTGGAGCCTGATTGTCTCCTCCTTCTCAAAGATGAAAGCTTTAGGTTCTTTTTATCTGATGGCTACAGTTTTGGTGGTCTACCAGGTATTGTATTTTTGTTAGGAGTCCCATTTTCTCTGTATCTGTTTTTTCCACATTTTCCATGAAAGAGCACATCCAGGACAAGTTTTTGAAACTTCTTTGATATTATGGTCTATATCAGGAACTACGAGGGACTTACTTGGAGAACAGCCCACTTATGTCCCACACACATCAGCAGATGCAGGAGAAGACCACAGCACCTCTGCACAGAATGGTCTTAACATCCATAAGAGAAAGACTCAAGGCCAACAACAGTAACACAGAGCCAGATACCCTGGTGGGGCACAAGAAGAGGTGGAAGTTTTACCTACCAAGGCAGTGTTGTTAACAAGCAGGTAAGACACAGACACCCATGTCAAGGCATGAACAAGCCTTCCTGCAGCTGAAGAACATCTGGGACTTTAAGGAACCAAGGTCAGATTGTTCAAACACTGATGTTAAATCAGTCCCATTCTACTGAGCAGAAACATGGCACACTAGTGTCAACTACCAAAATGCTTCAGAGCTTCAACAAGGATCTGATGGCCCAACACCTTCATAAATTAAGATCTGTGGCAGAGAACAGAGAGCAGACGGTGGAGGAAGAAATCATTAGAAGATACTAGGGGTTGATCGGCCACACGATCCATAAGCCTATCACAAATGTCACCAGGTCAGACCCCAACCGGCCTCCCCAAGGCATGGAGAGAGGACGGTTATGCAATACCTCTCAGAGACCTGGAGGCAGACTTCAAGAAGATGGACTACTCCTACAGCCAGCTAGAAGGAAGGGTCCAGGACAGGGATGGCTGAAGGAACCTTGCCAGTGGCCTATGCCCCAGAGGGATATTAATAAAACAAGACTTTATATACATAAGTAATTCCAAGTAAAGTGGTCCATACACACACATCTTCTAAACCGCTTATCCTTCTGGGTCATGGTGGGATGCTGGAGCCTATCCCAGCTGTCATTTGGCGGAAGGCAGGATACACCCTGGACAGGTCGCCAGTCCATTATGTGACATACACATTCACACTCACACCTAGGGGCAATTTAGCATGTCCAACTGACCTGACTGCATGTCTTTGGATTGTGGGAGGAAACTGGAGAACCCAGAGGAAACCTACACAGACACAGGGAGAACATGCAAACTCCACACAGAAATGACCCTGGCCACCCTAGCTGGGAATCAAACCCAGGCCATTCTTGCTGTGAGGTGACAGCGCTACCCACTGCGCCACTATGCCACCATGGTCCATGTATCATTTTTCAAATGTTTTAATATAACAGTGGCTATGTACAGGATTTTATGGTGTGAAATAGATATTTGTCCAGCATACAACTTTAAATCTCCGTCACTAGTAAACATTCACACTCAGCTCTCCTATTTCTCTGAATCTCTACAAACAAGTATTTCATAGATGATGACATATGACCCATGCTGAGAACTATATATCATGTTAAATTTGCAGAGAGATTTATGAGGCTGCATCCTGTATACTCAGCTCTTCTCTACCACCAGCTCACAGCAAAAACCACCATTAGAGCCAACAATTGGACACCTCTGCCAGACAGATTCACAGCAGAACACTGTTCCACGCCGTATTGCCCAAAAGAGATATAGCACAAAGCTCAGCCTAAGATAGTATCATTTTGAATGCTCTGTCTGACAGTTAAGGTGATCTTAACATTGCGATGCCTTAGGCGAACCAAGCTCTGCTGGGTAATATTGATGGCGGTATTGGACAGAATGATATGGTGACATTAAAGGCTGTGTCATCTAATGTGGAATCAAACAGAATGTTCTATTGTGCTATTTTGCAAAATGCTGCACTTACATGCTGATATACAGTGATATGCAAATGTTTGAATACTCCTAGTCGAGTTTCAGAAAATCAGCATCTGTTTTATCCCACTGCCATGGCATGATGGGGAAGTTAACAGAACATTATGTTGGCCATAGCTGCTTCCCATTGCTTCTCCATTGAAAACTATAGAACATCCGGGTTGCTGCGATCCGTATCCTGTCATAATGTTGTTGTTAACTTTTCCTGTGCCAACAAACACATGAGACATGAGATGCAATGATGAAGTTCTTTATTCAAGTATGTTTCTCGACAGCAACCCAGTGTGCAGTGTCAGTCTGTGTTCGAAACATGCTCTGTCCAGTCTCAGTCTGTCATCCTGCAACACCTTAGTCTGAACAGATCTTTAAGATACACCGTTTTATACTTTGCAGTGTAGCTGTCATGCCTGTTTCTGTGAGCTTCAGTGACAGGGCAGTGAATGTACTACATTAATACTATAACTGGGAAATGTGAGAATAAACCCTAAACAACACTGCTAATAAAGAATAGAATAAATAAAAAGTAAAATGACAAAAAATCCACAGTTTTAACTACAGGTCTGCACTCCCACAGGGTTCCAGTTCAATATCTTATGGCGCATGACTGATTTTTAGTGTTGTGAACAGGAGCGAGTGGGTAACCAGCCCACTGCAGGCGGAAGTGGGATGAAGCAGGCATGAAGATAAATCCTATGAAATAATGAATAGCCTAAATCACATATATATAAGCAATATAAAATGATAAAAGAATAAAAATGAATGGAATTTTTTTTTAAGTGTTGTGAAGCAACTGATGACATGTACATCATTGAAATTCTTATAGCTTGTGAAGATGGCAGAGCCTTCAGTCTGACAGCCACAGCTGCCAAGCCCAAAGTACCAAAAATAATTATTCTGTGGTTTAATTCTTGCTTTGGTTTTACAGGGAATAAATGGTATATGATGTAGTTACTTCACAGTAAGCCTAATGACCATGACTACCATGTTATTTCAGCAAAGAGTAATGTACTTGTGAATACATGTCAAATGTCAAATATTGCATGTCAGTTCGCCTTGATAGAACCCATGGGCAGGAGCAGGCCAAAGTGTTTTGGTTGTGGGTGGGGGCGGGATTCATTTTGATTTTATGTGGGAATGGGCAGGAGTAGGATGAAATCTTGTAGGAGCGGGCATGAGTGAGTCCTGCATAGACCTCTAGGGTGAACCCAGCAATTTAGGATTCTTTAGGAAACAATTCAATGTATCATGAATTCTCACATTTCATCACAATTGAATTTAATTGTTTCAGAATTATTTATGAAAATATGCACAAATATGCCTAGAGGAACTATTTATACAGTGGTGGAATGTACTGTGAAAA